TTTGGCAGAACCGGGGATTGAACTCAGGCCCTTGCGCTTGCCAGGAAAGCGCTTATTCCACTGAGCCATCTCCCTGGCCCCCCAGAATTGTAACTTTTGTATCTGATAAGGTCAGCCAAGTACTCTCAGGATTTATCCTGTAGCCCTGTACCACATTTTGTACATTCTTTTGTCAGTGTCACGGCCATTGCTTTACCAATTTGCTCTCTGTGAAAGCTTGAGAAAATGTTTTTTCTCTCCATGTGATGTTGAACATTTTTTATATATTTATTTGCATTTGTATTTCTTCATCTGAGTATTCATCCTGGCTACCTGTTTTTTGATTGGGTCTTTGAATTTTGATGGTCTCATTTAAAAATATTCTTTGTATGTTCTAAATGGAACTATTGAATTTTAGAAGATAATGTAAAAAAAAAAAAAGATAATGTATATCCATGGCATTTGAAAGTTATGAAATGCTTTGTATTCTCTATAATTAAGCCCTTCCTCCTCATTATTTTTTTATTTTTAAACTTAGGGCTTCAGAGACCTGAATCCTTTAGCTTTATACACTAAATCCAGTGGCGGGCCAGATGATGTTGACATGACTGAACTGAGTTATCATTCCCAGCACCACTATCTTAATGAAGATCGAGAGATAAGTCCACAATCCAAAGAGAGTGAATTACATGCCCAGGTAAGAGGTGTTTGCAAATACTATTATAATTCATATTAGTAACCTTAGTTATCCTCATTTTATAGATAAGAGAACTGAGGCTTTTAAGATTTTGGAAAGCTTGGAAATTTTGCAGTGATCTTAATAGTTAGTTTGGTTCTCATTATTCCTCTTGGATGATTTTTCTCTGTATTAAGTTCCCTTTTTCCTTTGTCTAATTATGACTTCCATTATAGACCAAATGCTAGTCTTTTTCCCCCTATACTCCTCAGATGCTTTTTTCTTACTTTCTCAATACACATTTTGCCAACACCTCCCAGTAATATTATAACATTTGTATTGTATACGTAGTTTTCTCAACTAAGTAATACTATTTATTAAACTTATATCCCTGGCACTGTTCTAAGCACATGTATATTAACTGATTTAATCTTCATAGCAATTTTACCAAGTCAGTACATTACAGATAAGAAGGCAGTAAAAGTACCTAGTAAAACTTAATGTTTCTTGAACAAACATGTACTCTAAATCTGGTACTCCTTGTGACAACAGGTATTGGGCAACAGGCATATCACTGTGAGTTTCTAGTCTGTGTTTAGAATCAAAATGTTTTAGGTTTTGCTCCAAAAAGGATTTCAAGTTTTCTTAGAATAAAATGTAAAAAAATTTAATATGTATTACGTATATGACTTTTAAAATTACAGAGATGATGAGTTTTTAAAGTAGATATGTATTAATAAAAGTTAGGCCCAGCCTATTCAACTACTGAGATTAACCTCTTATGCCAAATACATATATTTCTTGCTGTGAGTTCAAAACCATATAAAGGTTTAGATTTCTAGTCAGTGTTAAATTAATTGGCTTTGTTTGACCCATATGGGCCTGAATATTCCTTAGTCTTATTACTAAAATAAAAGAACATTTCCTCATTTTAAACAGCAAATCAACCTTTTAACATTTTTAGAATACTATGTTTCTGTCTTCAGATAATCATAGTTTAGTCTTAGAAATAAGACTTGTTTTTTCTGTATAAGAGAAGAAGATAGTAGCTGTATATCTATCCTAACTATTCTGCATATACAGATACACAATGGTCCTTCCTTTGTATCCCCTTTTTTTGTTTAGTCCTGTCAGAGATGGGTATTCCATTGGTGTCTAAATACTATAGGTATGTGAATTCAGCAAAACAATCCAACACAGTCTAGCAGTCCACAATACTAATGGGTTATCCACAGAAGTTGTTGACTTGAGCCTTTCACAGCTCAGCATATTAATATGGCTTTACTTTTTTTATTTTTGGCGGAACCGGGGATTGAACTCAGGCCCTTGCACTTGCCAGGGAAGCACTTATTCCACTGAGCCATCTCCCTGGCCCCCAATATGGCTTTACTTTACCTGGTTTTTATATTTTTCTGCTGGATGGTTAAGACCAAGAGAAAGCAACACCTATATAACAAGAAATGTAACTTTTCTATCTGATAAGGTCAGTCAAGTACCCTCAGGATTTATGCTGTAACTCTGTACTGCAGTTTGCAGATCCTTTGTCAGTGTCAGCCATGTGGATGAGCCACGGCCATTGCTTGACCAATTTGCTCTGTGAAAGCTTGAGAGAATGTTTTCTCTCCACGTGACTCTCCTTAGGCATACTCTACATCATCGATCATGTTGCTCTGTGGCCCCATAATGTCCTTGATCAGAAAATTTGGGGCACAGATGAGTTACATGATGTTATAGTACAGGTTCTCCTATGTCCTGAGTTTTCACTGACCTTGAAAGGCTAGGGTCAAAGTGTTGACTGTCCTTGCAGCCCTTTTATTTCTCTGATTTTTGCAAACTTAGGTTGTTAACCCTCCAGAACAGAAGCTTATTATTACCCTACAACATATGCAGTTGGGTTTAACTTCACTATCTGTCTGAATATCAAACATCTTAGGCATAATGTGAAACAGGTATTTTTCATCAAGTATTTATATGTTAAACTTATAAGTCCCTACAGAATATGGAGATAAAAATTTAAAATATGAAAAATATTTAAAGAATATGAATAAACAATTACATATTTTTACACAAAAATTTAGAAATCTAACCATATACAGCATTGTAGCAGGACAGTCCTGTGACATTTTTTTTTCTTGTGTCTTTTTTTCATTTATTACCCATACCAATAGTGTTTGGACAGGATATCCTGTCTGCATCTTATACTATGGATAACCACTAAGAAAATAATAATGTACAATGTATTGATTATTGAAACTATCCTATTAATCAGTTTTGAAACTGCCTCATTGCTATTTGTTTCTCAAAAAAATACATAGAAAAAAATAAAATAAAATAAAAAAGAGAAGATAAAAGTGTGGTACCCACCACAGTCTATATTGTGATAGCACAACTCCCTTTTGCCACACAGAAACCCACACCACCTACTATGTAGTCCCTTGCTAATTTCTAACAGTCTTTTAAGCGTTCTAATCATTGTATTGTCTTCTTCATTGCTTCTTCTAAGGTATTCCCTTATCAATAATATTTTCAGTATACCTCTGTGATGGTTCTACTCATAAGACCTCACTATAATGACCTGATTGTATGATTTTTCACTGATTTTTAGAGCTATGGCATTCTTCTTTAAATCCAGAGTTTTCCTATAAACATCTGACTTCTTATGCAGAATATCCCAGTATGTGCTCAAGAACATCTGTTAACAGCCAGGCATTTGTAGTGTATGCCTATAATCCCAACACTTGGAAGGCTGAGGCAGACTTCTCATTGTGAGTTCTAGGCCAGGCTGGGCTACATAGCAAGACTCTATCTCAAAAAACAAAAACAAAAAGTCTGTTAACTGAAATTGCTTTAACATAATTGGAAGGTCAAAGGTCATAGATAGGGTTAAAAAAAGGTAAAGTAGCATTTGTATGAACAGTTGTGAAAACTTGTCAACAAAATGTATAGGCATGTAAGTTTTGGAAATAACATGGAAGACAAAATAATATTGCTTTCATATCTACTGGAAATCTGTTAATGATAATCTGTATTTAAATCACCTAAGTCTGTGTCAAATCAGCCATTAAAGGATTCAGAATTCAATTCTTTGAAAACTCTGAACTGTGAAGATGATCCAAAGTGGTCCATCACAGAGCCAAAGGATCTGAAGGAAGAAAATGAGGTAGGAGAAGGCAAATAGTTTATAGTACTGTAATTCCAAATGAAGAGGACTAGAATAAAATAGCTCTTTAAGCCCCCTGCTTTCAGTGTCAGATCTTCTCTCCAGTCAGTGAGTCCAACGTTGTAGCAATACAACCTTGATCACAGAAGAGAAAAGGTCTTGTCTGACTTTGATGTGTGGGTTACTATTACACAGCTTTGAGTTCCCTTCAAGTGTTATGCAGTGTTTAGGTAAAAACCCACCAGGAAATGTACTTACAACATTTTTGGAGGATGTGTTTTTGTTTTAATCAAATGTTCAACACGTACACATGCACACATGCGCGCGCGCGCTCACATAAGATATCCAAGATAATTTAACTAATTTCTATTAGTTCATTGAAAAGAATAGTTAGTGCCTCTATGGTTTGATCAATTTTGCATGCCTATGTCTGGTAATTTAAGCAACTACTTTGAAGATAATAATATGCAATATAACAACCGTTGTTAATTTCCTATCATCTTGTTTTGAAATTCTGTACCATTATTTTTCTCTTTAAAATAAAAAAGAAATTTTAAAAAAATTTTTAAAAAAGAAACAAAACAAAATGTTTACGTACTACATATAGCCTACAGTACACCTGACCCCTTCTACATTTCCTGTTTCCCACAATAACTGTTTATATCTCATTTAGCTTCTACTTTTGCAATTTATGTTTCTTTCATTAAATACCATATTTATCATGTCCGCCTCTTGTACAGCAATTAACCACTAGGAAGAATGTATGCAATGTGTTAATTATTGAAACTGTCCTACCAATTTGATTTGAAACTGTCTCATTGCTATTTGTTTCTCAATAAAATTATGAAAAAACCCATATTTATATATCCTGACTTTTCAGTTTTAAGTATTTATGAGCTTCCCAAATGAAAGATGAAAACTTAGTTCTGTAATCTCTTCATCTCCCCACACACAACCTTTGTGTTCCCTCTCCCACTATACATCTTTCTAATAATACATTGTTTCCATTAGATCACCACTTATCATTAATTTTATGACTATGTAAATGCTATTACACCTTTTCCTTTCATAATTTTTATGTTAATATTTAATTCTTTTAAAATTAATACACAGCAAGATTCAGTTTCTTTTGGTGTATCTGTCAGTTTTAATTCATGTGTGATTTTGTGTTTATACCACAATCAGGATGAGAAAAATCTCCATCACCTAAAGTAATTCTCCTGTAGCTACTCTTTTATAATGTGTTCCTACATTCCTGACTTCTGGCAACCATTGACTTTTGTCACTCTAGTTTATATTTTCAGGGCTTCTATGCAACCTTTGAGACTGACATCTTTAGTGTAGTACTATTGAGATTCACCCAAGTACTTAGCATGTATATCAGTTCAAATCAAAGCTTTTCACTGCTGGATGGCATGTTGTGTAGACATGCCACAGTTTGTGTATCTTTTCATCCACTAAAGAACATTTGAGTTTTTTATAGTTTGGAATAATTATGAATAGAACTTTTAAAATTATTTCTATACATGTTTTTGTGAACTTAAGCTTTGGTCATGTAGGAAAAATACTTAGGAGTAAATTTTCTGGGTCATGTGTTAAATGTTTGTCATTTGTTCTCCAGAAAACCTGTACCATTTTGCCTTCCTTTCAGCATATGAGTTCTTTGTCAGTGCTCAGTATTGTCAGCAAGCTTTATTTTAGCCATTCTAATTGGTGTATCACAAGATGGCTTTAATTTGCATTTCTCTAATGACTAATAATGTGGAACATCTTTTAACCTGCTTACTTGCCATCTACCCTTACATCTTAGTGTAACATCTGTCTTTTGTCTGTTTTTTAATTGGATCATCTGTTTTCTAAGTGTTTATCAGATATGTAATTTTCACATATATTCCTCTACTTGTAGCTCTTTTTTTCCCCCATTCTCTTAATTGTGTTACTCATAAGCAAGTTTTAATTTGGAGAAATTCCACTGTATCACCTTTTTTCTACAATGTTCAGTGTTGCAACTTTGAAAAATCTCAAGTTAATTTTATCACAGTGCGTGAAGGTTAGGATATGATCCATTTTGTTGCATACGGATCCAGTTCTAGCATCATTTATTGAAATGATTATCCAATCTCCATTGAGTTGCCTTTAAAACTTTAAGCAGAAATTAGTTGTTCATTAGTGTTTCTAGAGTCTTTTTTTTTGTGCTCCTTTGTGTCTTTTCTTTTAGCAATGCCATGCTGTCATGATTACTGGCTTTATAACACCTCTTAAAATCAGGTAGTAAGATTCTTCCCTCTTTATTCTTAAGAATGTCTCCAGATTTCCCTTGTAAATTGTAGAATTATTTTATATCTGCAATTTTGATCAGTATAGAAAATTTTGAGAAAAGTTGATATCTTTAATTTTTGAACACACTATACAACTCCCTATTAATGTAGGTTTGTTTTATTTCTTTGTAGTATGATTTTCATTATTTAGGAACTGTATGTGTTCTGTTAGCTGTATATCTAAGTAATTTGTTTTGGGAGCTATCATGAATAATCTTGTTGTTGTTTTTATTTTCATTTTAATATATCGAAATGCTTTTTTGTTTTGGCCTTGTATCCTTTGTAGGTTCCTTTACATTTCTATACAGGTATCATTGTCCTCAAACTGATAGTTTTGTTTCTTCCTTTCTAAAATACGCTTTTTAATCCTTCTGTCTTACTATTACATGGGCTAAGATTTTAAATGTATTCTTGGACAGGAATATAAGAGAATACCTTTGTAATGCTAAAAGATTCTTATGATTCCATGTTAAATTTTGCTCAGTTGTTTTCTATGTATTTTGATAGCATTGTTTTCTGCTTTATCTTCTATTAGTACAGTGCACTAATTTTCAAATACTGAGTTAGTTTGACACTGATAGAGTCAACCCCACGTGCCCATATTGAATTCTTTTTATATATTCATAGATTTACTTTGCTAATATTCTATTGAAGATTTTTATGTCTGTTTTTTATGAGAACTATTAGCCTGTTTTCTTGTGTTGATCTTTGGTGGTTTTGTTTTTGTTGTTTTTTTGTTTTTGTTTGTTTTTTTTTTGTTTTTTTGTTTTGCTAATCAAAGTAATATTGGTCTCATAAAATGAATCTGGAAGTATTGCCCCTTTTCTGTTTTCTTGCGAAGATTATATTCAGTTGATTTTAATTTCCTTTTGGGCTTTTTTTTTTTTTT